AACATGTTTGAAATTGGGTGTAGTTGTACTGTCTGCTGCTCCCATATGGAACGTCCTATTTTGAAGCACGCCAGTCGACGTACTTTCGAGCCACGGCAATTTTTTTGGCAAAAAATGGGAATTGCCATTAGTCAGTTCAGGTTCAACGGATTTTGCTCATTTTTGGTATGTGAATGAATAAGGGCTAGGGTTTTGATTTTGAAAATTATGCAAATTAGGTAGGTTTGGCAATTATATAGCATATTATATAAACACAAACAGTCTGTGGTGTCAAACTCGTCTGGTTTGTTTTCAAGATTTCATTGACAATATCTTTAATGCAAAATTGGTATTTTCCTCCCACTCTGCCGATAAAACGTCTATATTAGAGTAAAGATTACAAATCATGTCGGAACACCAGCAAACCTATTTATTCAAGCTCCATCGCTACAAAGCGGGTATAGCGCCATCTACGGTCACAAATTGTTGATTCATTTTGGTTTATAAATTATTATTGCGATATACAGATGGCAATCGTTTCTATAATGTACGTCGATGGTTGCTCAATTAAAACTGATTTCTTCTTACTCACTCATTTGTGTCCTTTTTTAGCTCATCTGACATAGTCAGATGCAGCTTGTAGAATCGCATGATCGTCCGTGCGTCCGTCCGTGCGTCAACAGTTGGCACAAATCTTAACCGCTCGACGTACGTCCCGAATTCGGGACGTGGGGGGGGGTAATCCGAAAACGAGTTGGATGTCGAAGCCTGGGGGTCAAAGGTCAAGGTCAAGAGTGTAAAAAGAGGGGAACATTCATCCTTAACTTAAGGTATAGGGAGGAAATGCAGAATTGCGGCACAAATCTAAACGGCTCGACCTAGGCTCGTGATAGTCGGTGTATAAGCATCATGGTAGGAAAAGCCATCACTGTGCAAAATTGGAGGTCACAGGTCAAAGGTCAGTGGGCACAGGGCAGTTTTAGACATTTTCTGAGGACATGGTCTGACGGAGCGATTGAAAAACTTTTTGTTTCAGCGTGACCTAGCATTTTTATGGCTTTATTGAAAGGACCATGAAATGTCCTTTCTGCTGACATGCGAAGAGTAAGTGTCGGATAACCTTTTGACCCTCAGAGGAGGGTTAAACTTGGATTTGTTGACTCGTCTGTTAGAAAGAATTTGACTGCCGGGTTTGCTAGTAGAATCTATACACTGCCTGATGTATGAGGCTACAATGTCACACGTGAAATTTCAAAGCAAATTGGTTAAAGAAGGTTATGTTCCTTAAATCGTATAATTTCTATGTCATTTCGTACTGTAGTCATGTTACATGTAACGTATGCCACTTGCCAGTGGCTGCTGCCAGTGCATGTGTTGGTCGGCAAGTTTTTGCCAAATAGATTTTTACACACATCCAAATTCGAGCATTAATACTATAGGGGGGGGGGTTGCTTAAATGAATCATTATGTGTTTTTTTCCATTATTTGATGGAGTACGGAGTAGGAAAATGTGTTTGCCGCCACACATTGAGACATGAGACTTGAGACTTGACGAATCATTGTGTTTTTTTTTCATTATTTGATGGAGTACGGAGTATGAAAATGTGTTTGCCGCCACACATTGAGACATGAGACTTGAGACTTGACGAATCATTGTGTTTTTTTTTCATTATTTGATGGAGTACGGAGTATGAAAATGTGTTTGCCGCCACACATTCAGACATGAGACTTTCCCACCCCAATTACCTTCCCTTCTGAGATTTAATATTTCTTGTTAACATAAAAGTAAGTAGAATATTGTATAAGCCGTGATTTATCTTTTTTGCCTATATGATGGTTTATCAGCAAAGCATGTAATTTCTCCATATTTCAATGTTTATTCTTGGAATATCAAGTTGTGAAAAAAATGAAACTCCGATGTTTGTTACCCCAGACGAATGTATCTTGTTGTCGAAGCATTGCTTGGTAGTATGTATTGTGTCTGTAATAGTGAATGAACTGTCTGTGAGTGTGCAAGGTGAATGAATCGTTACCGCCTTGTCATGCTTGTATAATGAACAAACTGTATGTCAGAAACAATATAAGAAATAAAGGTGAAGTATATTAAATGAGGCGGACATAAAGTTTTGCTTCTAAGGTGTATGCAAAGTTTTAAAAGACAGTATTCATGTAATTATCAATGATCGAACCATCAGGTCAATCTTTTAAAGCAAAGACAATCAAAACTGTCTAATTATGACTATTATAATTTTCACTATCTGTAATTGTAAATTATAGCAATACAAGAAAATACAATACAATACAAGCAAAGCAATACAAGCAATACAAGCAATACAATACAATACAAGCAAAGCATACAATACATACAATACAAACAATACAAGCAAAGCAATACAAGCAATACAATTGTATGTGAACACATTTGGGACTAACAGGGTTTACTAGAATCCCACCACTCCACCACAGAGTCACCGCAGTAGACGTTAGATGAGCGCTGTCGCTCTGCGGCACTTGTTTGTGGTGAGCTACAGTGTCATTGACACTTTCATTAAAAATTCTTTTCAATATTTTCCTTTCAAATCCTCAGGTTTTACGTTTTACAATGGGTACAAATGTAATCTCCTAATCGAGTTCTTTGGAAATAAAATGAAACTTTCCAAAGACACGTGGTGTGCACATATGGGTGCGCACAATTTGTTAACTAGTCTATCAAGCATTAAACATGACATCACTCACCATTTTCTGAATGTAATACGAATTCGGACATTTTCATTTGAATTCATTTTGTATTTGGTATAAACGTAGCTAGGTGTACATTTTTTTTCACAACGTGATTACAAACGTTATTTGTGCGCCTTGGAAACGGTGATGGGGAGAGAGAACCCCATATCCTTATATCGCTTGATTTCTCCTCTCATTCTCGCTTTAATGTTCGTTTGATGCTCTCCCCTTGCGCTCTCGTTGCTCGCTCTTCCCTTTCCCCTAACATGGTCTTCTCTCCCTCCTGTCTCTTTTTTGCACTTCGTCCGGTTTCCTTCTATTTTGTTCAATGCGGCCAGCTTGCGCATTCTTTCTCTGTCGCTCACAATCACCCTCGCCATGTCTCTAAAAATCTCTATCCATCTCTCGATCTTTATCCATCTCTCTCTATGCATCTCTATATATATATATCTCCCTCCATCTCTCCCTCTCTCTTTCTTTCTCTCTCTCTCTCTCTCTCTCTCTCTCCTGCCCTTGTTAGACTATGTTCCCTGCGCCGTACATCTGACGTAGGTAGTAGAGTACGTCGCCAGGGCGCCAGCCCACCTTGCCGTGGCACAGTGGGCAGGCCGACTCGACGGGGAACTGCACCTTGGGACTGAGCGGATCCTCGGAGAACGCTCCACTCAGCCGCCGATTCACCGAGTTGTGCACCCGCCACATCCACAGCATCGCCCCCTCATGGTCGTGCACGTCCGTCTCCATGGTGACGGACTCGTGGTTCAGGAAGTTTTGGCGGCACACCTGGCAGCCGAAGAAATGTCTGACGAACGAGCGCATGGCGTGAAGCACCTCGAGGGGATCTGTCGCCGGCGACGACGGCGACGACTGTAACCCTGGCAACGATCAGCAATGTCGGGTACCAGCTACGTGTACAGATCAAGCTTACTACTATTACTGTTGCAATTATTGTTGCTATTACTGTTACCATTATAATTATCGTTGTCGTTATCATTATCACTATTATTATTGTTATTATTATTAGTAGTAGTAGTAGCTAGCAGGGGCGTAGCCAGGATTTTCAAAGTTGTAGGCACGACTATCTGAGCGGAGCGCCACCATGGGTTGGCGCGGAGCGTACAAGAACATTTTTGGTTTTACAAACCCCCCAGATGGCTGGAAACGGCCCTTCCCGAGTGTTCATTCTGGTTCCCTGGCCTCTTGCTAACTTGAGACACCTCATTCAATATCACTTTTAAACCCAAAAAACAAACGAGTTAACGAACGAGTTAAAATGTTAAAAAACTGACAAGATCGGATCCTAGTCTTTTTCGGCGGGTAGAGTGTTGAATGAAACGGCACGCGATAGAAATGACAGCCTAGATGACAGAAGAATAGGTCACCTAATTTAGCCATATTCTTGCTACGTTCATTTCAATAGTTTTTCCTGTCTAGACTCTTAAACTCGTCCAGCAAGCTTATGGATTTGAATTATGGGTGTTTAAAAAAAAGAAGATAACTTGGCCAAAAAAGGGCCTACAGTGCTACATACTGGCTACGCCCCTGGCTAGTATTATTATTAGCTCATTAGATGTTTAAAGTCATAAACACTGATCATGGAAAGTAGGTGGGGTGAACATATTTGTGCTCACAGACTTCTAAAGCTGCAGTACAGGACTGATACAGCGTAAAACGCTGGTATATTATATAGTAGGAGGAAAATAATGTATTTGACTGCAACGTTTATATTCTCTGTCCGGCCGCCTTCCCTCCGATCTCTACGCTATCGTTAAGCGGTGTACCGAACATCACTGTAACGTGACGCAGTGACCATCACGTACCTGAATTCATGCTTCTGTTGGCTGCCTCCGCCGCGACGGTCAGCGAGTGGAACATCTGCCACAGGCCGCAGGTGTAACCGCGGTAACGAGGCTGGCTACCCCGGCAAGCGACCCATCCCACAACATCGCTAATGTAGGTGTCATTGCCGTGCTGAAATACAGTTGACTGCTATCATAAACATGGAAATCTAGACAAGATAGATACGGATGAGAGGCAACAACAATGGAAAAAATAGCGACTACACCGCCACTAACAGCAACAACAACAACAATAATAATAACAACAACAAAACATTAAATAACAATTGCGCTAAGAGGTTACGCAATGTGAGCATTCTCAGAGCTCCTCTATTCGATGGCATCTACGCCATATAAACATTGTCAGCTATACTCCATTTGCAGTCGGTTCATAAAAAAGAGGGTATCCCCGAATTAATAAATCAATTGGCGAAATTTTTAAATTGATTATTCGAAATATTCGAAGTTTGAGAAGCGTGGCTGTGAATTCGTACGTGTGGGTCGCGCGGTGCGCAGGTTTCGCTCGTATGACTATGACGACCGTATAGAAAATATACTAATCGTTTATATTAACTATAATAACTATACTAAATCATATGAATAACGGGGCGTCACTAGAGCGCATGCTTTTTTACTCGACTTGTTGGTTGATTTGACCTAGCGTTTTACTCTTGATTTTGCTCTTTACCATTGACCTATAACGTAAATGATAAAAAAGCTACAGAGAATCTGGAAGTCAGTAAGTAGAGTAATCTCGTGGTCCATCACACCAGTAGCCTCGTGTATCAAAGTTCTCAAATGTATCCGACATGCTCTAGTACGACGCGTACCGGTTGATCGGGTTTTCCCGTGAGCTTCACGGAAAACTCCTGCAATGTTGTTGCGTTTCGGCCCCATAGCCAATGCAGCAGCTGATGCAGCTTTCTCACGACGCGCTGCTCACCGGGGTAATACTGCATGAAAACATGAGCGCATAAACTAGGAGCATCTTATTGTTATACAATATTATTATTTTATGATAATTAAGATGTAAGATTAATTACAACAAATTACGACAAATTACGACAAATTACAACGACGAATTCTTATAGGCCCTACATCTTACTATTCTTATTGTCCTCACTTTATGTACTCTCGCTCACAACTCTGATTAGTCAATATAAGTATTTATTTCAGCAGTAGGAACAGTCCTAATTATAAAAAAACAAGGTAGTAAAACATTTATTGATGCGATGCTACCTGCTATTATATACTACAATATCATTTATTCATGACATTTATTCATGATGATCAGAATTATGAACAATTCCCGTATTTAAACGCTAGTTAAAAATGTTGTAGAAGAACTTGAACCAGGGCATAAGGCGCATTATGAATAATACAATGATAAATATAATGAAATATAACATGATACTCGTAACCTGACCGAATGTATAATCGATAAAATATACCCAGTATATATACACAGTATACGTATATATATATATATATATATATATATATATATATATACTATAACATAACAAACCCTTTAACCGTCGTAGATGCTGTTAGACAATATTTTAGGAAACGATCGCGTAGGGTGAATACCTTCGCGAGTACACCGACATACTCTCTCAACGCCGCCATCTTGTCACCATTCAGTTCTCCCTCCACCAACTGGACATCATGAGACAGCGACTGCCAGAGGGAGCTCTCTAGGTCCCTGTTGTATGTAGGCGGTACCAGCGGCAGCATGCGCTTCCTCAGGTAGTCGTTGACGGCACGCATTACGGGACTAGTTCTCCACGAGCCCCTAAGATCAGCAGACAAACATAGGCCTACAGATACCCTTCGCTTCCTTCCATCGACATTCATAAACTTGCAATGGTCACAACTTCTCCGTGATCACCTAGCTTCCCTAGCTCCAAGAAACGGTCTTGCTAATCACTTTGTATTACAATATTACAATGTATTTGTGTAATTGTGTATTTGTGCATATGTGTCATTACTTTGTATTACAATATTACAATGTTTAGACAATCAGTCGCACAGCCTCGTCGGGCTACTAGCTTCCCCAGCTCGAAGTAAAATGTAACAGCCGCTGGCAATTAAAAAAAAATCTTATCAAGCGAGACATTTTACTTCTTTTTGCCTTTTCTATGTACGGCTAGATTATTGCGCGAAATCAAACAACGATGACTTTGACAACAGAACCCGTAGGCTGTGGGCTTGAGATTGGAAACAGTGAAGCGGGCCGAAAACGGATTTGGATCAGTTATCCGAATTGGAACCACTGATCCAAATTTAAATCAGAAAACTGAAATGAAATGTGCGATACAAATCGGTGATGTAGTAACTACTACTAGTTCGGAACTAGTAATACGGATTGGAAGTGGACATACAGATTTGAACCGATGGCCCCGAACGGAATCAGTGATCCAATATTCGAAACGTACACGCCCTCAACATTCCGTACCAGTGCAGCCTCTGCATGCGGTCCCCGTGCGGCGGAAACACGACAACAATAGGCCAGGTCGTCGGCTCGATGTACATCGATGATGCTGCTCTCTGCCGATCGGTGAGGTTTCCGTACAAGCGCGCCCCGGCTACGCCACGCATGTTAGAGATGTCGAGAAGTACCTGCATCGATAATAGCGATCATGATAAATGCATGAGATTCAGCAGTATAGCTGGAGAGAAATATGCGAGACATGCAGTCTGTTCTCACAATAACATAGTATATATAACAGAGTAATACAGCTCTAAGCACGTAGACTGGCATGTATTGGTGTATAATTTGTGGACTGCTCGTGGTGTACATGTATACAGTATGACATATATAGGGAAACAGACGGAGAACATAACTGCTACATGTCCGGTGATGGATGTTCGCGGTGTACATAAAGCGTAACCTAGCCTATAGTAGAAGTAGACGAAGAACATACCTGCTGTCCGGTGATGGATGCTCGTGGTGTACATACAGCGTAACCTAGCCTATAGTAGAAGTAGATGGAGAATATACCTGTTGTCCGGTGATGGATGCTTGCTGGTCAGATCTCTCTAGCAGCAGCAACACGTATTGAGCATCAGGGTTCATCCTCCTTATGTTGGCAACTTCGGCATGGCCGCTGTAAAACAAAAGGAAATTTCATTGTAGTGCATCGAAGCTATTGCCATTTTATACGCATCGGCCTTGTCGGCATAGATTTTGAATACGAACCTTCCACACGTGGAGTTGCAAGCTTGCGATGCAAATTTATGTTCGTAAGTCGATTGTTCGTGACTCAGAATTCAATCGGTTTGAGATGCGTGGCTGTGGGAGCGGGTTACAGCCCTATAGACCGAAGGTCCGATAGACCAAAGGTTATGTGTTCAAGGTGTAAAGATGCATTTTCGGAATACGCAGTGGCTACGCGTTCACACACACACACACACACACACACACACACACACACACACACACACACACGCACGACACGCACGCACGCACGCACGCAC